TTATATTATATTAAAAAATTAATATAAAACCAAGCTATAATGAAAAATATAGTTAATAATTTTGACTAATAATATTGATTAACAAAAATAATGATATGAACAAAGTAATAAATATATGCATAAATTTTAATAATAAATATATCCATAAATTCAATAAATTTTCAAATTTGATTTTTTCGAAAAAGCCATATAAAAAAAAACTTGTTTTATATTTTTCAGAAATCGTTCTTTTTTTGATGCGTTACAATTTCAAAAATAGTTATTTTAATAATATTAGATTAAATATAATATTAAATATAATATTTAATTTATATATTATATATAAAAATAATTTTTAAAAATTTTAATAAATTTTCTATTATTAAACAAAAAATTGTAATATTTATATTTAAAATTTTGAAATTTATTATTTTATTTTTATATATTTACACTTGTCTATCAGTTTTACCAACTTCAATAATTTCATAATTATTTTATAATTCATAACAATAAATAATCTAACAAATGTAACAATATAAATAATTATAATTTAAATATATATATAATTAATACATATTAACCTGTTAAAAGTAAAAGTAATTAAAATTTAATAGTAAATAATAATATAAATAATAATAATAAATAAACTTACTTTAAATAATAATTTTATTAAATGCATTTATAAAACGCATAAAAACATTTGTTCATAACTATTATGCTTGGATCTACTTTTCATATTATAACCTCGATCATTTGATACAATTATAGCGGTTATTCAATATTTTGAATAATAAATTATTAAAATAACTTTATTCTTAACTTCAAAATTTTGTTCATCTTATTATATAATGCATAATGATACATATAATTTATTATTTACTAGAAATGGTTCAACCATGATCAAGTTGGACATTGATATTCGAAATGGAGGTTTAAAACTCGATGATGAATTTTTGGTAGATTTCGGCATAGAGAAAGATGACATTTTACTTGCACATGAAATGCGGTTTGAATTTTATTATATTATTTAATTATTTAATTATTTTATATATATAATTTTAAAATAATAATTATAATTTTTTTTTAGTTATCCAGGAGGTGATTGTACATCAGATATATGGTTACCAGAAGATTAAAATACTCATTGATTCACAATATTTTTTTTATTAGAATTAAAAATAATATATTTTAAAATTTATATATATAATTAAAAATAATATATTTCAAAGTTTTTTAGAAATATTAAATTTTATTAATTATAAAAAAATATTTTCAAGCATTTTTTTATATCTAATATACTAATAATATATTTTATATCTAATTATATCTAATGATATTTTTTTAATGATAATCTATCATGTATTAATAAATTTTTGCTTTTGAAT